AGCACGTGCTGTGGATTTACTGGGAGAGCGTCTTGGTTATGCAGCAAATGTGCGATCGTTTGTGATACCTGCATTCAGGCACGGGTGCCGTCGGCCGAGTGTAATGACAAGTGCTGGGAGCATACAAGGCAGTAGCTCTGGGGCATTAATCAAGTAGCCTATGTAATTACTAACCTAGTTAGGGCTTGCACAATAATTGTGCCGTGTGACCTGTACTGGATACACTGACACTTCTCCAAACATAGCCTGCAGGATCCTGCTGGCCCCTACTGGCTTGACTGGACACACAAAGTTGAGAGTGAGCCGAGAATTTAAATCAAGATGCATTGCAGTGTGTTTACTGCTCAGCCCTTCCTTGTCTGCAAAAGGCTACACGCCTCCTGTGCTCTGGACTTTGGTTTGTGTCTTTGAGCTAGGGCAGTCCAAAGCACCTACAGCCAGCCAGGGCCATCCCTACCAACAGGCAAAGTACGCAACTGCAAAGGGCACTACAAAATTTAGGGCACCATATTGTCCCAAATGCAATATCAACCCATGGAACTCCTTGCCAGGGGATGTTGAAGGCCAAGATTAGAACAGAGCTCAAAACAGAGCTAGATACATCTATGGAGGTTAGGTCGACCAAGGACTATTAGCCCGGCCGGGCAGGAAAGGTGCCCTTAGCCTCTGTTTCCAGAAGCTGGGAATGGGCAACGGGAGTGGGATCACCGCTCTGGGGCTCTGGCATTGACCACTGTCGAGAGACAGGATACTGGGCTGGGTGGACCTTTGGTCTGACCCAGTGTGGCCGGTCTTATGTTCCAATTCCATGATACCCCAGGCAGCTGCATGCTGTGTATGAGGTGGCACCAGCTCCAGTGGCCATTTCCATCCCCTGGTTGCCCCCATGGGCTGTGCCCAGCAGGGCCATCCCTAAGGGGGACTGGGACTTGGGACAACCCCCGTCCCTCACTCAGCCCTGCCCCCATCTCACCCCTTTCCCTGAGCGATGCAGCCTGGGGAACTAGGGGAGGGGCCTGACACTGGCAGCAGCAGGGGGAGAGGGAGGAAGAGGAGCGACCTGACTCCAGTCCACCGTGCTCCCCTCCGTTTCCCACCCCAATGAGTGCGAGCTGGGAGTCCGGGGAGCAGAGCAGGCTGGGGCCAGGTTGTTTCACTTCCTGCTGCCGCCAGAGAATGCAGAGACAGGCCTAACCCCTGCGGCCTCCCTGCCTGCCCCTGCCTCCCACAGCTCCTGTCCCTGCAGCCCTGAGCACAGCCTCCCCAGCACGGAGGGGCCACCAACATTTCTAGGGACACTTCTTACTACAGCACTCTAAGGCAGCATTAAAGCAAGTGGAACAACAGCTCTGTCTGTCTGTCTGTCTGTCTCTCACCCAGCGCTAGTGCCACATGATGATCACACCGGCACCAGAGCCATGGGCAGTATGACAAAGAAAAGCAGCAAGGTTAAATGCCCATCGGGCCATTGCATGAGAATCAAGGAATGGAGACAGTGGTGCAAGCAAGGAGGAGAATAGGGTAGCAGTTTCCTGCCTTTTCTAGACGTCTGTTTCCCCATCTTAGGAATTATTTGTAACCCTTCCTGGCATTCCTCTCACTTGGACAGCTCCATAGATCCAGGGGTCTCAAGGTGCTTTACGTACAAATGAAATAGGCCCCATGCCATGGACTTTAACAGAAGGTGGAAATTAAGAGAGTAAAGGGAACCACCCAAGGTCACACCGTGAGTCAGTGTCAGAGCTAAGAACTGAATCTGGCTCGGACATTCACTCTTGGGCCTTATCCACAGGCCACCAGTCCTCCTCTAATCATTCAGGGCAATCACCCTCCCTCTCAAAGCCCTTCCTCCTCACTGAGGAAAGAAAACAAAGGCAGGCCCCTGTGCAGGGGAGGGGTCAAGGGTGCGAATGCCCTGCCCCGGTGGTCTTCCTAAGTGAGGCTGGTGGCTGCCCTGCTCCTGTGGTCCACCCCTGTCCCAGCCTGCCTCCTCCCATGCTCCGGCGAGCTGGGGGAAGGCTGGGGCTGATTCCCGCCCCCGCCCCCGCCGGGGGGAGGCTGGGGCCTCACCCATAGCTCACCCCCCCTCACCCCCACAGAAATTCCTGCATACTGGCCTGAAAGGCCTGGGAGTTTGCCTGATACTAGCTTGGCCTTTGCCTGATCCTGCAAGGCAAGGGCCAGGCCTTGAGGGAAGCAAAGACCTGTGCGTGGGAACCAGCAGTTCTGATTAGAGGGGGCTTTGTCACTGAGGAATGGAAGCAAACAGCCTGTCCTGGAGCACAGGCACTGCCCTGGGGCAGGAAAGGCAGCAGTCGCCATAGAGCATAACCCCTGGCTTAGAAACAATCGTCACACCCACCTGCCCCCCTCCCCCAGTGCTTTATCATAGAACACTAGAACTGGAAGGGACTGGAGAGATATTGAGTCCAGCCCCCTGCCCTCATGGCAGGACCAAGCACAATCTGTGTCATCCCTCATAGATGTCTGTCTAACCTGCACTTAAATATCTCCAGGGATGGAGATTCCAGTACCCCCCTAGGCAATTTATTCCAGTGTTTAACCACCCCGGCAGTTAGGACGTTTTTCCTAATGTACAACCTAAACCTCCCTTGCTGCAGTTTAAGCCCATTGCTTCTTGTCCTGTCCTCAGAGGCCAAGGAGAACAATTTTTCTCCTTTCTCCTTGTGACCCCCTTTTAGATACCCTTTTTTATGAGAATTGGCTTAAGAATATGAATATGCGTAACTTGAAGATGCTTTATGCAAAACAGGGCATGTAAGGTACCAATTTTACTATTTCAAGCTGCTGAATCTGCATATCCTATTTTTGTGCATGTGTCATTCTTGTGTGTGAGGTTGGAAACATGAAGTGTGGATCTGTGTATAGTTCTAAATGTGCTAATGAGGGCCATTGGTGATACTTCCGGTGCTTACATTTAATTATTTCAGGAGTGAGTTCTAAAACACCTAACCTGTCATGGCTGGAGCAATTATCCCCATGGTAATTGCTGCTCCTGGATGTGTCTGGCATGTCCCTGCAGCGCCTGAGAGAGGCAGAGCAGGGGGTCTCCACACGCTGTCCTTACCTGCAGACATCACTTCTGCAGCTCCCATGGATCAGTAATGGGGAACCGCAACCAGTAGAAGTTGTGGGCTCAGTGCCTGTGGATGAGGGCAGCACATGGTGCCAGGGAGCCATTGCTGCACATGCCAGCAGCTTTCAGGAGTGGTGTAGGGCCAAGGCAGGAGTAAGCTACCTCAACCCCCCTGCTCCACCACCCGGAAGCCAGCTCAGTTAAAAGGTACCCAGCCAGAGCCTGCTTCCAAACCTCTGTCCCAGCCTGAACCTCTTCCTGCCCCAGACGTGAGTCCCCCTGCATCCAAACTTCTTCCCAGAGCTTGCACCCGGAAACCCCTCCTAGACCCCAATCCTCCACCCTGGGCTAAGTCCCGAGTCCCTCCCACACTCTGAACTCTTTGGCCCAAGACCAGAGTGTGCACCCCCACCCCTACCCCAGCCGGGTGAAAGTGAGTGAGGATGGGGGAGGAAGGGGGATGGAGCGAGCAGGGTGAGGCCTCGGAGAAGGAGTGGAGCAGGGCCGGGGCCTCAGAGGAGCGGGAAGGAAGTGGGGCCAGGGTGTTTGGTTTGAGGTAGATCTTCCATTGAAAAAGGGATCTTGTGGTCAAAAAGGTTGGAGACCTCTGTTCCAGCGGGATGGAGCTGGCGCCATTGGAAGGCGGGAAGGATAAGGGGGCCTCTGAAGTTAGTGCCTCCAGAGCCCTGGGTTGAGGGTTTGTGTCCGACCCATCATGGAGACAGCCGCCAGGAGCTCTTGGGGGAGGGAGCTAACACCATTGGAAGGCGGGAAGGATAAGGGGGGGGGCCTCAGAGGAGCGGGAAGGAAGTGGGGCCAGGGTGTTTGGTTTGAGGTAGATCTTCCATTGAAAAAGGGATCTTGTGGTCAAAAAGGTTGGAGACCTCTGTTCCAGCGGGATGGAGCTGGCGCCATTGGAAGGCGGGAAGGATAAGGGGGCCTCTGAAGTTAGTGCCTCCAGAGCCCTGGGTTGAGGGTTTGTGTCCGACCCATCATGGAGACAGCCGCCAGGAGCTCTTGGGGGAGGGAGCTAACACCATTGGAAGGCGGGAAGGATAAGGGGGCCCATGAAGGTTGGAAGATGGAGTGACTTGTCCAGTGGTGCAATGGATAAGGCACCTGACTCAAAGCCCGGGGTTGAGGGCTCCAGACGCTGGTGGTGGCTGAGGGTTGGAGTCCAACACCAGATACCTGAGTGCTGAAACCGGCACCATTGGAAGAGAGGGAGGATAAGGGAGCCCCTGAAGGGTAGGGTGGAGTGCCCACCTGGAGGGCAGCTGACACCATTAGAAGATAGGGAGGATAATGAAGCTCCTGTAGGCAGGTGGGGTAGGTTCTCTGGTGACGTAATGGCTAAGGCATCACACCCCTAAGGCTGAGGTTGAGGGCTCCAGGAGCTGGTGGTGACTAAGGGGGATGCTGGTGGTGGCTGAGGGTTTGAGTCCTGCCCCCCACACTCAGCCACCACCAGCTTCACAAGGGATGGAGTTGGCAACACTGGAAGATTGGAAGCAGTGTGGACGTAGCCTGTGCGTGACTGTTATTCTCACAAACACACACTGTCCTTCCTTCTCATCTCCCAACCCAATATATGTGTGTGTGTGTGTGTGGGGGGGGGGTATTGTTACTTCATTTACTGCTTGCAAAGTGGGTTATTTTTGGGTTTTGTCTGGTCTGTGCATTTCATAACTTTCATTTCTCTCTTACGCTTAAATTTAATTCTTTGGGTGACATGGAGTGAGCAGGGTGAGGCCTCGGAGAAGGGGTGGAGCTGGGGCAGGGCCTCAGAGAAGGGCGGCAGAGGGGAAGGAAGCTGGGCAAAGGTATTTGGGTTTGAGGTAGATCTTACATTGAACAAGTGATCCTGTGGTTAAAAGGCTGGAGACCACTGACTTAAACCCACTTTTTGTATTTATAAAACCACTTCTGTTTATTAGCAAGCCCAGTGTAAATGCTTGTCACCTGGTGGGGGAGCAACTATTCATTTCTCTCTTTCATTGATAAAGGGGGCAGACACCTTTTAAGCTTTCACTGTGTGCGCGACAGAATAAAACGGATGTACCTGGGGCATTGGTCCCATTTGGGGGTTGGTTTCCTGGGTGCTGAGCCCTCTTGGAGCTGAACTAGTTCAGGTGCTGTGTTGCCGTGCAGAGGGACAGTAACCCCAACTCTGTGCTTTGGCTGGGGGAGACCAGAGGATCTGGCCCAGCAGGACAGAGGGAAGGGGAACCCCAGAGAGCTGGAAGGCGGGTGTCAGCACACCAGAGAACAACCCGGAGGGGACTTCTGTGAGTCACCCCATCACAATGACCACTCTCATTAAGGCTCTCCGTTCTGAGCTGCAGGAAGCCCAGGCTGGACTGAGCGCTGCATTAAGGGGAAGAGGCAGCTACACTGGTGACAATCCCTTCCCTTCCTGCTCCACAGAGCCTGCTTCCATGTCTAGAGGGGCCAGTCCTCACTGTTCACGGAGCTCAGGCTTTGTCCAGAGCAGGGCAGCTCTCCTCATTAACTAGGGGACTCCCAGGGGGCCACTGGCAAGGTGCACGGAATGGAGCAGACGGGAGCCCCCCGAGCAGCTTATGAAGACTGCAGATCCCAGCAGGCAGCATTCCAAGTGGCCACAGCTCTCCACAGAGCGGGAGAATGGGCCACAGCCAGGGGACTGCATTGTGCGCTGGTGACTGTCACCCCGACAAGTCCCCATTGTCCAGTTTCAGAGCACACGAGGTGTGTCGGGCTCTGCGATTCCAAGGGCACTGCCAGGGCAGAGGGGAGGGATCCCAGGGGCTTGAAATGAGCTGGTGTCAAACTGGCTTACCCAGAAGATCGGGTATGTGCAAAATCTACTCAAGCAAGGCCAGCAGCAGCCAGGGGAAGGTTTGCAAGGGCCAGGGACCAATTGTTTTCAAGACTGAACGTGCTGCTGCATGGAACAGCCCTAGGTCCTGGCACCCCAGGAAAAACTCCCTGTTTCAATCTCTGTGACACACACAGTCTCCCCTCAGTTCTGCTCACTCTTTATTGCCTGGCTTCTGTCAGCGAGCGCGGCTTTCCTGCCATCGCAGTCACTGTAATGGAGCTGGCTGCTCAGTTGATTGCCGGTGCATGGAGAGGTCCAGATGAAGCTCTAGGGTTTCTTTCTCCAGTGTGGGAGAATCCTCACTTGTCTCCTCGGGGGGAGGTGTCGAGGTGGATAGAGGGGCCAGGTCTGTCCGGGACAGTCGGCTCTCTGATGACACAGGCCTGTCCTTTAGCGACCTCGCTGTACCTAAATGAGGAACATTGCAGAGGATGAACTGATGGGTGATCCAGCTACCTGACTGTGCATCCATGTCTCTGTTTCTGCACTCATCCTCTAGCCATCCTGCCTTCCCCATCCAGACCCTTTTCCATCCATTATTACATCCAGCCACCTTGCCTACCTTGGTTCTATCCTTCAACTATCAAGTTTTAGGTCACTGGCCACCCATTCATCAACATGAACTTCTGTCCCTCTCCCCTACCTTCTTCATGAACAAGCCTTCTCCCGACATCTACTCCAGGTTTGTTTACTGAGACCCCACTGAAGAGCAAATTAAGCGCAAGGTCTCAGTGCATTCCTGAGTGAAATTCACGCCCATGCAATCAGACATTTCTTGACTCTACGGCTGGATATCTTCCTCCATCCTTACTGCTTTCACTCCATTTATCCAGTCAAATTTCCTTGCCTTCCATACCCAATTCTACCAGGGTATGTCTACACTACAGAGTGTTTTCAGAAAAATGGCCATTTTTCCAAAAAACCATCACACTGCAATTGCGTTCTTTTGACCAAAAAAAAAAACCATCGAAAGAACAGAAGGGTTTTTCTGACATTGGTAATCCTCATTCTACAAGGAAGAAGCCTTTTTCCAAAAGAGCTCTTTCGGAAAAAGGCGTGTGTGGATGGGGAAGAGGGGGTTCTTTCAAAAGAAGAGGAAAGAGGAAAAAGCTCAGGTGCCCAGGTGGCCGCTCCAACCATAGAAATCACAGCTGAAATATGAGATAGCGTCCATTCAGCTTTGGCAGTGCAGACGCTCTCTTTCAGAAGAAGTTTTTCCAGAAGATCTCTTCCGGAAAAGTTTCTTCCGAAAGAAGCCTGCAGTCTAGACATAGCCCCAAGCTAAACATGCACTCTTCCCGCTGAAGGCAAGTGGCGTTCCGAATGCCACCTGTCTCCATTTTAGTGGCAGGAGGGTTCTGTGCTTTCCCACCAACTTCTTCACTCAGTGCAGAAGCTATTGCAGTTGTGGGCTGTGTTTTAAATCATGGCTCAGATCAGGTGGTTCTGCAGCATCCCGCAGCTCACCCTTACCACAGATGGGCCTGCAAAGGGATTGCTAACACAGCCTGAATCTGCCCATCCTCGGGGTGGTTTTATGATGGATGCCACCGAGCGCTAGTTGAGAACATTAACAGGTGTGTTGTGAGCAAGACACGAGAAGTCATTCTTCTGCTCTACTCTGCGCTGGTTAGGCCTCAGTTGGAGTATTGTGTCCAGTTCTGGGCACTGCATTTCAAGAAAGATGTGGAGAAAGTCCAGAGAAGAGCAACAAGAATGATTAAAGGTCTAGAGAACATGACCTATGAAGGAAGGCTGAAGGAATTGGGTTTGTTTAGTTTGGAAAAGAGAAGACTGAGGGGAGGACATGTTAGCCATTTTCAGGTATCTAAAAGGGTGTCACAAGGAGAAGGGAGAAAAATTGTTCTCCTTGGCCTCTGAGGACAGGACAAGAAGCAATGGGCTTAAACTGCAGCAAGGAAGGTTTAGGTTGGACATTAGAAGTTCCTAAGTGTGAGGGTGGTTAAACACTGGAATAAATTGCCCAGGGAGGTTGTGGAATCCCCATCTCTGGAGATATTTAAGTGTAGGGTAGATAAATGTCTATCAGGGGTGGTCTAGACAGTATATGGTCCTGCTATGAGGGCAGGGGACTGGACTCGATCTCTCGTGAGGTCACTTCCAGGCCTAGTATTCTATGATTCTATGAGTTTGCCATGTTGGTAGTTTTCTCCCCAGCACCAGTAAGAAGCTTGGAATCAAGAACATGATTTTCCTTCTTGCTCTGGGCCACAGGCTGCCTGTGGCTCATGGCCTGGCGGGGACAGCAGGACAGTGCCTGCCCCTGGGGCAGAGAGCACGGTGTGTTCCACTCGCCCAGTCTCTAGCTCTCACGCGCGGTCCGTGGAACCAGACAGCAGCTTCCCCCCAGCCAGAGCGGACTGAAGCGGCAGCGAGCAGCCCCATGGGATGTGGAGCTGGAGCAAGTGCCCGTGGGAGGGCGAGGAGTGGTGCAGGGCACTGGGGAGGTTCCCAGATGCAGAGCTGTGGGGCAGGGGTGGAGCTGGGCTGAAGTGCATGCTTAGGGCTGGGTAGCCCTTGGAACGGCTTGGGCTTGGAGGAAGGAGGGAGCTTTGCATGCGGCTCTTCCTCTTCCCTCCACAGGTTTTCCCC